ATGAATTTTACTAGGATTAACCAAACTGATGACTGTCTCTCATACACCTGTCCAGAGAGATCCGTATCTACTGCAGCATATGTATTATTATATTTATCTGCAGCTGCTGTAGTTCTGCTAACAGTGTGTGGAAATCTGCTCATCATCATCTCTGTTTGTCACTTCAAGCAGCTCCACACACCGACTAACATGCTCATCCTCTCTCTGGCTGTGTCATACTTTCTGGTTGGAGCTTCAGTGTTGCCAGTAGCATTAATCTGGTTCATTGAATCATGCTGGATTTTTAGGAGGGTTTTCTGCTTATGTTTTCAGTTGAGTTCTTATTTTCTTACAAGCTCATCTATATACAACATTGCTCTAATCGCAGTTGATCGGTATTTTGCTCTCTCTAATCCATTTCTCTACACTAAAACAGTGTCTGTGAAAACAATGTGCATTGTGGTTTTATGTGACTGGTTTGTATTGCTGTCTTACAATTTAGCACTCCTGTACTTTAATTTACCCTTCATAAATTTAATAATGTGCCCCGGAGACTGTTTTCTATTGTTAGATGAGGTCTGGTCTCTGGTTGATCTTTTGTTTACATTTGTTTTACCATTTGCGGTTATAATCATAACACATGCTTTAATTTTTATTATTGCCAAAAAACATGTCACTGCTATCAGAGACCTTATTGCTCAAACTAGGACTAAGACATCAAAGAACATAACAGAAGCAAAATCAGAGAGAAAAGCAGCAAAGGTTGTTACTATTTTAGTTTCTGTCTTTCTAGCATGTTTACTTCCCTATTTTGTTTACACAGTATTAGGCAATGTTGTTGAAATAGAACTTGAGTCAATTCAGCCTATTTTGATCCTGCTTTATCTTAATTCTGCCATTAATCCAGTTATTTATGCATTGTTTTATCCGTGGTTTAGGAGATGTGTTAAACTAATATTTACTCTTCAAATATTTAGAACAGACTCTGCACTGATAAATGTTCTTTGATCAATTACTACCAAAGTTTTTTTTTCACCACAGACTGACTAATGAACCCTAGCTTTTCTGCTAGTGTGTCTCAGTGATTTATCTTCTAAAATTTGCAAAAAGTTTGCAATTTCATTTGCAGCTTGATAAGAGAGCATAGCTTATGACTGATAAGCCACCTACATCATCTTTCTCTGCTATCAATTATAGGGAGCTTACAAATGTTATAAACAAATTAAGTTTGTCCGCATGCGACCTTGACCTGTCCCTACTTCTCTCCTTAAGGTGGTGCTTGATTATGTTCAAAGTAATGTTTTAACTATTGTCAACTGTCAACAGGTGCTTTTTCAGATGCTTTTAAAACTGCCCTGGTGAAGCGTCTGCTAAAAAAGAATAGCAGGGATCCTTCCATACTAAATAATTTAGACCAGTTTCAAACCTTCCTTTTTTAAGTAAAGTCCTTAAAAAACTTGCTTTAATTTTAATTTATCTAATAGCAAACAAGTTATATGTGAAATTTCAGTCAGGCTTTCACCATAGTACTGAGATAGCATTGATTCATGTTGTGAATGACCTCAGGCTCAGTGCTGATGCACAAAATCCTTCTATTCTGGTCTTATTGGATCTTTTTGGATAGAAGCAGTTTTTTGATACTGTTGATCATAAGATTCTAACCCTGTCTTAAATACTGGCTAGGCTTCTCAGGCACAGTTTCAGAATGGTATAAATCATATTTAGTTAATAGAAAGTTAGTGGTTTCACTGGGAAATCATTCATCAAAACAGAAAAACCTTTGTAATTTTGTGTTCTGTGAGAGAATTTGCAGCTCACTAATCCAGTAAAAATGTTGTACTGTGGTACACAAACTAGTGCATTTGGTTACAGTTTATGTTACCGCACTGTTACTGCACTAAACTAAGATGTGAGATTCTTCAGACATGTTAGCTAGCAAAGTTTGAGCTGTATGCAGTGAAGTATGTAGCGTATAAACAAACAAAGAACCTATTTAGGAATAGGTTAATTTGGACATGTTCTTATAACCATAACATACGCTACATATAGTGCTGAAAGTTTTCATCAGTCAGTGACCTAGTTGTTTTGCCAGTCACTCAGCCACGGTTGCACTAGCACACATTATTTTTTTTAAGAGATAGTATGTTTTGTTCCACCACTTTTGGAGGTGTGTCATCACCCCTGAATATGACATATCAATGTCCCTTGGCATACACTCTGCAAGTCTCTAGAACTATACTAGGGGGATGGAACACCATTCTTCCAAAAGAAAACTAATGTAAAACTAATCATATCCGTAGAGCACCTTGGTCAGCTATAAAAGCTTCTAGAGCTTCACAAGGTGCTCTGCCCTGCTCTTCAAATGGACAACTGCATCAATCAATCAGATATGCTTAGGCATACTGTTAACGGGGCTGGAGCCCCATGTCCATGTGGCACCAAGGTAGGACCTGATACTGCCAGAGGCCACTAGGGGTAGTGAAAGTCTTTAGGTAGGTTTTGGCTGTCAGGGCACCTGGCTGTAACCTTGGATGAGATCCAAACTGTAAACACACCAAAACCTTCCAAGCTGCTTGATGAGGTCCTCCACTTGAGGTACGGGTAACTGTCAAGCTCTAAGACCTCATTCAACCTCTGTAAGCCATTGCACAACTGTAGAACATCTGTTTTTGAGACAACAAGGCTCTCACTTTTATACTTGGTGCATTTGTTTTACACATCATCAACTGACAAGAAACTGTCAGGACTACACTTTCAGAAAAATGCTGCTGTACAGGTACAATTTTATCTCCCGAGGTACAAACAATGTAAATGTACCTAAAAATGGTTCTTAATGTCCAATTGTGTATGTTAAATGAATTTAAAATTATACTACATCCACTTTCCCACAGGCACCAATGACAGCCATGAGAGAGGGTGGGAAGGTGGTGCTCGAACCCCACATGCTGACGACAGCTGCAAGAGATGGCGGGAGGAAGTTGACAGCTGTGAGAAACAGCAGGAGGAGATCGACAGCCAGGAGAGTGGCGTGTGGACAATGCCTATGCCACAAGCCTGCTTCCTGAACTGCTGCCTCCTGTTCTGGAGCAAAGCTACTGTACTATGCTTGATGTTTGATCCTGGTGGCCAAGCTGCAGAGCGGGGGCAGTAATGGGAAAGTAGGGGCAGCAAACTCTCTTTTTCTCTCAGCTCTGTTACTTATACTGCCCTCAACAAGGTTTTATTAATATATAATTTGGTTTTAGCAGCGTGGGCAGAGAGCAGAGAGTGAAGAGAGAAAAGATTGACAAGAGGGAAGATGGACGAGCAGCAGTAAAAAGGACTGATGAAGCTCATCTTGAAAAAAAGGGATTGAAAAGTCTAGCTGAAAGCCACTGAAAAGTTTTTGGTTTGGTTTGGTTGCATTCATGTTTGTGAGTAAAATAAAACCTTCGACCGACTCTCCTTCCTCCAGCATCCTTCTTTCTCCTGAGGAGTCTTTCACACTGAGGAGTCTACACACCAGTGAGCAAAGGCATCCAGACCCTCATCCACCTGCATCTGGCCAGCTGGTGGGAGCTGCATGTTCTCCCATCCCAGCTCCAAGAAAGCCCAGAGCTCAGTCTCTGTCCTCACATCCCTGCACCTTGACGGCGAGGGGGTGCTCCCGAACCACCGCCAAGGTCACATTTTCCTTCTCCCTTCCCAGTTTGAACCTCACATGCTGACAACAGCCATGATGAGAGACAGCAGGAGAAAGTGGACAGCCAAGAGAAATGGCAGGAGTAGATCGACAGCCATAAGAAACGATGAGAGGATGACAAAATCTGCAAGAGGTGTGAGGACGGTACCTGTGCCACGGCCCCACCTCTCAAACCCCGCCCCTGTTCTGCAACAAGGTCACTGTACTACGCCTGATGTTTGATCCTGGTGGCTGAGCTGCAGAATAGGGGCAGTGACGGGGAGGCAGAGTAGCAAATTCTCTTTCCCTCTCAGTTTATGTGCTTGCACAGCAAATAATGAAAGCCAGCTAATGCTTAGTACTTAGTACATTTTTTTTTTTGAGAATGTACCAGGAACAAACTATAGTGCATTGTGAAGGTTTTTTAATTACCCCAATTCAGTACTACTAATATAGCCTTAATCAGAAATATGAAAAAATCATACAAGTTGTTTCTGTCTAGTTAAAAATGTTGCTATTAAATATTTATACATTTTGACATTCTGTTTAATATCAGCCATAATCACATCACATAAGACTGTTACTCTATATAAAATAAGCCTCTCTGTGTCCAGTAAACACTCTTGGGATAAATCAGTTTGCACCCCGTTGTTTTCTTGCTACCCAAACAAAAATCTATGACATCATGTATCAAGCTGTCATTCAAACTAGGGGGTGTGAGCAGTTCTAAAATCATACAAATAGGACACCTACTACATCAAGCCATAATGTTTTTGACCCTGTACCTGCAGTCTTATCATTTTACCATAAATTTATAAAAATCAGAACCTGAATCTGGATTTATTAATCTTATGGAGGTTAACCAAACTGATCAATGCCTCAGGTTTTCCTGTCCAGAGAGATCTGTTTCTACTGCAGTGTATGTGTTTCTGTATGTGTGTGCAGCTGCTGCTGTTCTGCTAACAGTGTGTGGAAATCTGCTCATCATCATCTCTGTTTGTCACTTCAAGCAGCTCCACACACCAACTAACATGCTCATCCTCTCTCTGGCTGTGTCAGACTTTCTGGTCGGAGTCTTTGTGATTCCTGTATCATTAATATGGATGATCGAATCATGTTGGATTTTTAGTGCAGTTTACTGTATATACTCTATACTGACCTCCTATTTTCTCACAACTACATCCATATTTAATGTTGCTCTGATTGCAGTTGATCGGTATTTTGCTCTCTCTAATCCATTTCTCTACACTAAAACAGTCTCTGTGAGCAAAATGTGCATTATAGTTTTATCAAACTGGTTTATATTGTTAGCTTATAATGTAGCACTTCAGTACTTCAATGGACACTTTGTAAGTGTAGTAATGTGTCCCGGAGACTGTTTTTTTGTCCTAGATGAGGTCTGGTCTTTGGTTGATCTTCTGTTGGCATTTGCTTTGCCATGCGCTGTTATAATCATATTATATGTTCTAGTTTTTGTTATTGCAAGGAAACATGCCACTGCAATCAGAGAGCTTAATGCTCAAACTAGGACATCAAAGAATGTAGCATACTCTATGAAGTCAGAGAGAAAAGCAGCTAAAGTACTTGGCATTCTGGTGTCTGTGTTTTTGGGATGTTTATTTCCATACTTTATTTATACTGTGTTAGGTAATGTAATAGAAATCGAAATGGGATCATTTCAAAAAGTCTTGATGCTGGTTTACCTTAATTCTACCATTAATCCAGTTATTTATGCTTTGTTTTATCCGTGGTTTAGGAGGTGTGTTAAACTCACTTTAACTCTACAGATATTTAACACAGATTCTGCTCTGATAAATGTTCTTTGATTAATAAAATGGTATTACAGTTGGCGCACTTCTTCAGATTTGTGGACACTGACTGCATTTACAATTATCTGTATCAAACTCTGGATACTGGAGTCTAGACATTTTTGTGGTCTTAACCATAAAAATGCCTTTAAACACACTGACTACAGAGGAAAGGACACATTTTTATTTACAAGCATTTTCTATACATGTTACATCAAAATTTAAAACAGGTGAGAGAAATGCACTCATAGTGAGGGTCTTATCTCATAATTCCCCTCTCGCAGGCTGGATTATGAATATAACTGCAAGTTATGCACCATCATTTTCATGTCAGAATGTGATGCCAAAGCTATTGTCATTTGAGTAATATTGAGATCCTATTAGTACTTTCCTAATATAATACTGAACATCATTTGAAAAGTCAGATACTACATTATCTTGCTGCGTCTCCCTTGCCAAAGTGTGAAGTTGGCAGAAAAGTTGTTCACAACCCAAAAAAGTGTTTGCATCAAACGCTGAACCTTTTAAACATTTTTAGA